CCTATCTCTCTGTCATCTATCTATCTATCCATCTGTCTTATGTCTGTCGTCTTTCTTCCTATCTGTCATCTGTGTATCTGTCCATCTATCCATCTTCCTGTCTGTCTGTCCCTCTGGATCCCAGTGACCTTTCGTTTCTGGGTATTACACCAGTGGATAATTGACCTTAGTAGAAGCCGAAGGAGAAATTCGGGATATTTTTAATACCTTGTCTCAACAATAAGAAGCCAGTTGCATGTTCGTGCCAGCCGCCTGGGCGCTTATCCCCTGTAGCATTTTGCACGGAAACGTACGACACTCACGTCCACGTGCAGGTTCTTGTGCCGTGTTGGTGAGTGTACACTGTGGGGATGGAGTGTCGCTGATAGCTCTCCTTCCACCTACTGACTGCACTTTTTTTCTTTTTTTATCATAGAACATTGAAAACTGAGTCAGCCACTTTGAAAACGTTAGCATTTTATTTCTTAAAAAATTTGAGGATGTAGCTCAGTGTGTGAGTGCTTGTCCAGCATGCACAAGGCCGTGAGTTCAATCCCCAGTACCGCACAAACAAGATTTAGTTGCTCACAAGCTCATGCGTGTGCAGGACATAAGGGTCCCCGTCCTCGTTGGGCGGCTGGTGTGTGGACAGAGCAAGGCCCGCCTCCGGCTCCCGGTCCACTTTCCCGTGAGGAAGATTTGCCTCCTTCCTTTTGCCAACTTAAAATTCATGGGACATTGTTTTTAGGAAAAGTTACCACGGTGAGCAGGAGGTCCTAAAAACCTCCTCCTTCTATCTGAGTGAAACTTGGGTTGACGTTTGACCTTCTGTGGGTTTTCTGTCATTTTTGACCCAGAGTCTCACTGGGTAGCCCAGGCTGGCCTCGAACTCACAGAGACCCTCCTCCCTCAGCCTCCTGAGTGCTGAGACTACTGGCATGCACCACCACACTACGCCCTGCCTTTTTTGTGTTTTTTAAAAATTTTTATCTTTTTGAGACAGGCTTTCGCTGTGCAGTTCAGGCTTGCCTTGAGCTCACTTGATAGCCCAGGCTGGTCTCAAACTTGCAATGATTCTCCTGCCTCAGCCTGCAGCAAGTGCTGGGATTATAGGTGTGCCGCCACCATGCACAGCTTCTTTTGTGTTTATAAAGAGCTGGTTCTTCAGCTCCCTGAAGGGTTAAGTGCAGTCGTAATTCTCCATCTCCTCTACTTCCTTAATTATCTTTCCAGCGTATTGAAAATCTTTGCTGTCAGCTGTGAAACCAGTGCTGTGTTGCTATTAACTCTTGCTGTTAACTCGCTTGGGTTCTATCTCACCGGGCATAGCTGGGAAATGCGCTGTTTTGCCTGCTGTTTTGCCTCCGGATGTGGAATTAGAAATCACAAGGACGATCCAACCAGTGTCTAGGGAAGTCCCGGGGCCTACGTGGGAGGCCGGACCAGCCTGTAAGCTGAGGCAGGAGCATCTCAAGTTCAAGCCCAGCCCGAGCAACTTAGGGCGACCCTGTCTCAATAATAAAAAATACAGAAGGGGCCAGAGCTGGAGCCAGTGCAAAAGCCCCGGGTTGTTGAAAAAGGAGAACTAAAACCAAGCCAAAATGAACAGAAAAACAAAACTTCCCTCCAGACCAAAAAGAGAGCAGACAAACACCAGGAATTCACTGCAGAGCTCTTCTCAGTCCAAGCCGATCGTGGTAAATGATAATAAATCAATTATTAGAGGTGAGATTTCCTTCTGATGCTGGGAACTCTTTCTGCCTAATAGCGGTGATCATTATGGGATATAAACCTTTCCTGTGTCTCTTTCTACAAAATAATAATAATAATAATGATAATGATTGAGCACAAAACTTAAAATTCCCAGGCTTTTTTCAGTCTAGGATGATAATAATAATGGCTGTAGTGAATAATTATGATAATAATTATTACTATTGATATTATTTTTTGAGACAGGCTCTGGTTATGTAGCCAAGCCATGAACTCACACCTATCCTCCTGCCTCAGCCTCTTGAGTGCTGGGATGACAAGCATGCGTCACCACGCCCCGCTATCAGTAATTATTATTATTATTTTTTTATATCAGTAATTATTGAACATAAAACTTTCCTCCAGGTACAGGGAACTTTTTCCACCAAGTGACAGCAACGATAATAATTATAGCTATGTATAAAATTTCCCTGCAGTTCCCACCAAATAATATTGAAAATAATGATCGAATAAAAGAACTGTTCCTCCAACCACTAGAACCTGTTTCTACCAGACAAGAATTGTAAATAATCATCATCGAACGCAGCTCTTTTCTCCAGGTAGCAGGACATTTTTTCCCAAGTAAAAGTAATAGTAATGACCAATAATAATCGCTGAATACAAAACTTCACTCAAGGCACCAGAACCCTTTCCTAGTTGAATAATAATAATTGAATATCAAATTGCACCAGATCCCAGGGCCTACAAGCCAAATAATAGTAATAATAATAGTAGTAATGATGATAATAGCTAATTAAACATGAAACTTTTCTCCGTACAGCAGGGAAGAAGAAAAGAACAAATTATTAACAAAGATATTAACAAGGATGAAAAACAAATCACCATTTATTTATTTATTTACTTATTTATTTAGTTTTTGTTTTTGGAGACTATGCCTCTTTCTTTTGTAGTTCAAGCTGACTCTGAACTCACTGTGTAGCCCAGGCTGGCCTCAAACTCGCAGAGATCCTTCTGCCTCAGCCTCCCCAGTGCTGGGATAACAGAGGTGTTCCACTATGGCCAGCTTCAATACATATTTAATTTATTTTTTAAAAAACTTTATTAGCACATATGGTGCATGGTTGGTGCATGTATATCACACTTTTTTTTTTCTTTTCGAGACAAGGTCTTGTGATGCAGTTCAGGCTGGCCGTCACCTCACTTTGTGGCCCTTTCTGGCCCTTTGTGGCCCAGGCAGGTCTCAAACTCACAGCAATCCTCCTGCCTCGGCCTCTTGAGTGCTGAGTTGACAGGTGTGGGCCACCATGGCCAGCGTAACACACTTTAATTCTTTTGATGTCCCTTTTCTTTCCCTTTCGTCCATTAATAAATAGTTATGGAAGATAAAGCTTTTCTGAATATCACGATGTCTTTCAGCTGAATGATAATAAAAATAACCACAGAATATAAAAGTACTCCAGGTTCCAGGGTTACTGGCTTAATAATAGTAGTAATAATAAGGCCTATGAACAACCCCTACACTGTCACATATACACGCCCAGCATACATGCTCAGAAACCAAATCAAACCAAAAAGAAATCTACCACGGACTTCTCCTTCCAGCCAAATAATATCAGTGGTAATAATAATAATACTACTAACAGTAGTTGAATATAAAATGTTCCTCTGGGTACCAGGACGTCTTCCCGTCAAACAGTAATAAAAGTAACCGTCGGACAGAACCTTTCCTCTAATAACTTTATTTTCCAAGTAGCAGGAAAAGCAGAATAATACTGGTAAATAACAACTGCGCGTAGAACACTGCTTTTCTAGTCAAATAATATTGTAGTAATTATAATGGAAAATAAAGTTGCTCCAGACCACGGGAGCAGTGATACGTAATTATTGAATATAACGCTTTCTTCCAAGTAGCATTAATCATCGTAATTCCGAATAATCACAGAGAATGGTAACTGAGTGAACCCCTTCCCCTGGGGATACCAAGACTGCTTTCACCTTGCTAAGAACAATAATAATAACACTGATAACTGTAAATAGTGACTGAGTGCAAAACCCTTCTCAGGTACCAAGACTTTACTTACTGATTGATTGATTGAGACAGGGTCTCGCTACGCGGTTCAGGCTGCCTTTCAATTCCTGGAGCACAGGCTGGCTTTGAACTTGCAGGGGTCCTCCTGCCTCAGCCTCCGGAGTGCTGGCATGACAGTCATGCGGCCGCACACCCCACAGTTCTCAGGGTCTAGTAATAAACAATAACAATAATCAGTAATAGCTGGACATGGTGGTGCACGCCTATGATCCCAGCACTCAGGAGGCTGAGGCAGGAGGATCGCCACGAGTTCCAAGCTAAGCTGAACTACATAGCGAGACCCTGTCTCAAAAAAAACAAAGGAAGATAATAATAATTAAAGGAAAAAACTTGTCTTCAGCTGTTCTAGGGTCCCAGGGGCTTTGGGGGACCCTCAGGTCCCATTCACCCCGCACGCAGGGCGCAGTCCGCGCTTGGCCTCCGCCTCCCACGGCTTTTCCCGTGTCCCTGTCCTCTGCTCGGACGGAGGACATAATCCGCCCGGCCTGGCATGAGCTCACCCTGCACTCCCGGCCCGACCGCATCTTTGCGTCCTGGCTTCCGAGGGAGGTCGGTCCTCAGGGACCTGCTCGTTCCTGCCGCGTCTGACCCGGCCGGGCGCCGCTCCCCCGCAGGGCACCCGGAATTGCCCTGGTCCTGCTTGCAGCTCTACCCTGTGAGCAACAGCCCCGGGTGTGCCGGGTGTCCCCGTGTCCCCCACGTGCGGTCCCCAGTCACGGACGCGCCGTGCTCGGCTCAGACACTGTCTTTTGTGAGGGTTTTCTCTGCAAGCTGCATGTTGGACACGCGGCTGCTTGGTGCGTCTGAGCCTCACACCCCGCACACCCAGCTCCCAGGGACGCGGAGTGTGCACAGGGCAGCTCCGGGGCTGTGGACGGCGCTGAGGGCCCCCTCGTGCAGGCCGGCCGACCTGAGCATGACTTGTCCCCCGAGACACGCTCGCTTCTGCCTGCCCCTTGCCCGGCGCCCTCTGCACGAGCTGGTGGACCGCAGACAGCTCCGGCTCAGACGCCCTATCCTCCGATTTGCAAACATGCATAAACGGCCCGGGTGCATGCAAGAGAGCACGAGGGCCCAGCGGTCGGGCTCCACTCTGCCGAAGTTCCAGCAAGTTCCGTGCAGCTCCTGGATGCAGCCCGGGCCCCGCACACCCGCGCCCCCGTGGCACACTGGCGCTCTGGCTCTTGTCCGCCGCCGGCTCCCGGGCCCCCGAGCGCCTTCTGACCCCGTGTTTGTCTCGCTGCTTCTCAGCAGGTTCCCGGGCGTGAGCGGACGCCGGCGGGGCCCCGGCGATGGAGGCCACGGCGCCCGAGGGCCCCCCGCCAGACCTGAAGCTGGTGGCGCACCCGCGGGCCAAGAGCAAAGTGTGGAAGTACTTCGGCTTCGACACCAACGCGGACGGCTGCATCCTGCACTGGAAGCGGATCTACTGCCGCATCTGCAGGGCGCAGATCGCCTACTCCGGCAACACCTCCAACCTGTCCTACCACCTGGAGAAGAACCACCCAGAGGAGTTCTGCAAGCTCGTCAAGAGCAACAGGGAGCACATGCGCGAGGCCTTCGCCTCCGCCTTCTCCAAGCTCAAGCCCGAGGCCTCGGCCTCTGCCTGCGGCCCGCCGGATGCCGCCCTGGCCCCCAAGCCCGGCCCCGGCCTGGACGGCAGGAGGCAGCAGGAGCTCACGGCCGCCGTCCTGGGGCTGCTGTGCGAGGGGCTCTACCCCGCGTCCCTCGTGGACGAGCCCACCTTCCGCGCGCTGCTTCGGGCCGCCGAGCCCAGGTACGAGCTGCCTGGCCGCAAGTTCTTCTCCGGCAGGGCCGTGCCCGAGCGCTACGCGGCCGTCCGCCACGCCGTGCTGAGGGAGCTGGCCGAGGCCGCCTGGTGCGGCGTGTCCACGGACCTGTGGAGGAGCCCCAGCCAGAGCCGCACCTACCTGACGCTCACGGCCCACTTCCTCAGCGCGGGCGCCCCGCTCGGGCTGGCCGCTGGCTCGCGCTGCCTGAAGACCTTCGAGGTGCCCGAGGACCACGCGGCGGAGGCCATCACGCGGCTGCTGTACGAGGCCTTCGTGGAGTGGGGCATCGGCACCAAGGTGGCGGGCGCCACGACGGACGCGGGCGAGGACGTGGCCAAGGCCTGCTCGCTGCTGGACGTGCCCGTGCAGGTGCCCTGCCTGGGCCGCAGCTTCGAGGCGGCCGTGCAG